TGAATAATCCTGGGACCTGTAGTTTACTCCTCACAGCTACAATTGCCAGCACCATTAACAAACAGATCCCCAGGATTTATTGGGGAGACTCGGGCGCTTTAAATACTTGGATTACAGGAGGTGGGGAGGGGCACTTCCTCTCTGCTTGCTGTCTGGAGAGTCAAACCTTCCCTATACCTGTGTTAGTTACATCTAGTATGGTCTTTTACCCTGGAAAAAAGGTAAAGGACCCATGACAGTCAAGTCCAGTCGCAGACGATTCTGGGGTTGCGGTGCTCATCTCGCTTTACGAGCCGAGGGAGCCGATGTTTGTCCGCAGACAGTTTTTCTGGGTCATGTAGCCAGCATGACTAAGCCGTTTCTGGCGGAACCAGAGCAGTGCATGGAAACGCCGTTTACCCTCCTGCTGGAGTGGTACCTATTTATCTACTAGCACTTTGACGTGCTTCCGAACTGCTAGGTTGGCAGGAGCAGGGACCGAGCAACGGGAGCTCACCCTGTTGCGGGGATTCGAACCGCCGATCTTCCAATCGGGAAGCCCGTCTCAGTGGTTTACACCACAGTGCCACCCCTGTCCAAAGGGTGAACTGCTACAATGCCAGTATGATTTCTTACAGAGAGAATGCTTTGCTTATATTTTTGTTTTAGATTTAACTTCTCAATAATAAGTGCAGGCACAATTTACTCATTTCTCCTGCACCACCTTACTCCATTTTATAGGGAAATCCCTATAAAGGTTAAAAAATTCAGATTCTCATTCAGATTCAGAACTCCTTCAGATTCTGGAAGTGGGGACAAGAAGTGTATGACCATAATTATAGGATCTATAGAAACAGCTTGGCCTCTGATGATACAGACTGAGGGGGCTTAAAACACCCCATACCAATTACTTACCCAACCTGGCTTTAATAATGGATTTCTTCAAACAACTCCTAAGCTTCACACAGATTGCTTTTCTAACCAAGGGTCTTTGCAATGACCGGGTTCATAGATAACGTTTTCAGTTAATTAGCCAGAAGACGCAAGGCTGTTTCCTATTGGGGTGATTTATCACTATCACTCGACATTTCCTAGGAGGCCAATTCACAAACACTGATGTAGTCCTCTTAATAGGACGGCCTTACAACAGGGCAGGTGATTTATAACTGGTCTTCCTTGGCTCTTTAAACAGAGCCTGTGGATGAAATATCAACGCAAGGGCTTCCTCTCCAATTTCCATGCAAATATCTGATTTCGTTGCTGGCTGCATGGAGGTTCCATTTTGGCTGCATCGTGGATGTTTCTTCCAATTGCTACTTGTCCATGAAGAATGGTATGGAAAGGTGAGCAGCAGGCGTGTCCATCAAGCATGGAGGATGCAAAGGGCAGGAAGTAACTCTTCAATTAAATGCTTTTGGGCATGCTTTATGAGTTGATCCACCTGAGGTATCCCTGTATTTTCTTTTCTTTTCTTGTTCTTACCACTGGAGGAGCAATAGGCTTCTTTGAAGAGATCAGGTGCCCAACTCCCACATTCTCCCTACCAGCATTGATTTCACAGGGCTTATGAACGGCATGCTTAGATGACTTGATCTGGAGTCTAATTGGTTGCAACAGGGTGTCAGTGATGACACAAGCTAAATCTGTGTAGCAGATCACTGCCCTCATCCACGTTTCCCTTTGATAAATCTTTAGCATGGAATGACAGCTCTATGACTCTCCAAATTTCTGTGTTATCTGAACCGCACTTCTATCTGATTCAGTCCACATGTCGGAAACAGTGTTTATTACAATAAGGTTACCAGGTTTTTTTTCAATGAATCCGGGGACACTTTTCAACTTCAATGGATTTTGTATGGGGGCTGATTTGTAAATCTGGGGACTGTCCCCGGGAAACGGGGACACCTGGTAACCTTATATTACAAGCTCTCCATATCTTCAAGGTTTGGGTGTCTGCTTAGGACACCAGAGGGAAGTTTTAAAATGCAGCCACTGCACCAAATAATCATAACACATTCCGCATGGGGATTTTAAATTTCCCCAAGTTATGAACTACTGTCATTTCCACTATTTCCATCTTCTTTTCCTTCTGCTGCCACCACAGCTAATTAGCAGGGACTTCTTGGCAGGCTCTACTTCTCCTGACCTGTAGAGGTTGCAGGGTTTGAAAGAGAGAAGTTGTCCCCAGTTTTTCACAATTTTGCCCATTATTATCCAACAGCAAAGTCAAAACAGTCTGCTTAAAAGCCTTGTTTCAAAAAATTCTTCCTATTAGAGATTTTCTCAGCTGGCTGAACCGCTAGTCTGCTCTAGCTCCAACTCAACATCCGTTCAAGACTCAACTCCGTCAACTTAAGGGTCAGGGAAGTGGACCAGGAAAGGACAGGGGTGGCCCAGGGCCTGGGATGGCTCATAGGCAGCACTTTGGAGAGAGCCAGCAACTATGAATGAAGGGCATCTAGGAGATAAAGTCAGAAGTGAGGGAAAGGGTCAGCAATGCAAGACAGACTGGAGCTCAGATAAACCTTAGACACTGAAGCTTTGTTAAAACACGGTATTAAAAACAGAGTAAAACGACATACACTTTCAAAAATAAGGTGGGTCCCAAAAATATACATCTCAAGTGTGAAAAGCCAGGGTGAAGAGCTGCACCTTCAGCATTTTCCAAAAGATATATAATGAAGGTGCCAGATCTAACTCTGTAGGAAGGGAATTCCACAGCTTAGGGGATACCACAGATAAATCCCTCTCCTGGGCTGTTACATGCTTCTGAGAGTGGAAGAACAACCCAGAGGGCTCCTTCTGCTGATCTTAGCACATGAGAGGGTCTAAAAGGAAGAAGGTGGTCTTTCAGGTGTTTTGGGGTATGCTCAATGGTGCTCACTTCTCACTTCACTTGAGATCCTCATTTAAATTAAGCAAAAGGAATTCTAAGCACTTTCCTCATTTTATGAGCTTCCCATATTCAGTATGAAATAAAAGAACAGCATTTAGATTGAACTTCAGAGTGCCCAAAGTGCTTCTCTCACCTTTATACCAACCTTGGCAGCCAAGTAAATTACTCTAAATGAAACAGAAAGATGAAGCTAAGAGATAAAAAGTTGGCCACACCTTAGGGGGTTCATTGCTGAGGTTAAAATCTGAATTGGAGCCATCCTTGAAGTCTTTTTCATCTTTAATATAGGGAAAGTCCTTTATTCATCTTTTCTGATCTCAGCCATATTTGAAAAGCAGCAAAAATCCATTAACATCCCCCCAGGCATAGCCTCTTACTAAGAATTTCCTTTCCATCTTCCAACCAAAACTTCAAGGCTTATATCTCAAACTCTTTAGCCATTTCACTCCACCAACACCACCATGCAACCAAGTCATTAAGGTTTATTTACACAATGTAAGGGCTGGTCAGCAAGAAGTAGGTGAGGGAAGCAAAACATGCAGGGGTTAAAAGCTACAGTCCCCAGCTCAAAAATTTCACATCTACCACTAGCCTAGACACATAATAAAATCCACCTTAATTTTTGCTTCAAACACCTAAGTTGGATGAAGATCAAAGGATTTTAAAAGCCTCATTAGCCTAATAGAAACATTATGTACTTCATGTTTCAGAGATTGTGATGTGCAACCAAGTACCTGGGAACCAAAAAAGGGATTTCCACCCATCATCCATCACCCACAGAAGAAGCTGGAGTTGAAAAGTTGTCTCCTAATATTGTTCTTCATTGTTTCATCCATTTCTAGCGTTTTACCCTCGAAACTATATATATTTTTTAAATCAACAAACTTCCAGCCCTGAAAATCCCTTGGGATTTTATATAATTGGCTAAACTGACAGCAAGCATTAGAGTCAGAATAAGACTTCAAGCAGAAAGAAAGCAATGTGGGCCAAGACAGTCTCAAATATTTAAAAGACGCTGGGGAGCTACGGAATGTCGAATTTCGGAGACCTCTGTCACAAGAAAACAAAAACCCTTCTTCTGAGCGGGGCTTTTAACCAGGATTCAAGTTTAAAAAACAAGAGCTGAGCCAAACCTGAGACCTTATAGAATATAAAACATTTCCCAGTGTTGAATAAGTAAATATTTTAGCATAGAAAATGCAAGACTGACCTTCCTTCGTGGACGAACATTTGCAAAGGTACTGCAGCATAGTGTCCTCAATCTGGTTTTGATGAAACACGTGGAAACACTTTTTAAAATAAAAAAGGTAAGAGTTTTCTCCGTAATGTTGCTTCTCTTTTTAAACTCTTTACAACGGCATGTTATAACTAAAGTCAGTGTGTGGTTTAAAAATGAAGAGATGAGCTGTCACTGGATATGATGGTATTGTTGTGGCTGGAATTTAATCCCGACTGGCATAGCATCTACCTGCTATGTTGCTATACAGGTCAGTGTGCTGAGGTTCTGTCTGACTCCTTGCCTGACCCTTTTGCCATTGAGATTCCAGAAAGGAGTGACTACAGTACTGACCTGTAAGAAAACCCTATAGTCTCTCAGGTGAGCCCAAGAATTTTAGGGGGAAAGAACAAGGTCTGCAATCTGCTGGCTACTCATCCCCAGGTTTATTGTACTGGAGGTTTCAAATTTGGTCACACAATAGATTTATAAAAGCAATAATACCATTCATTTTATTCTCAGCCTCTTTCCTAATACAGTCGTACCTTGGAAGTCGAACGGAATCCGTTCCGGAAGTCCATTCAACTTCCAAATCGTTTGGAAATCAAGGCGTGGCTTTCAATTGGCCGCAACCCACGGAACCCACGTCAGATGTTCAGGTTCCAAAAGAACGTTTGCAAACTGGAACACTTGGTTTGGGAGCCAAAACGTTCCGTCTTGTAGGCATTCGACTTCTACTCTACAACGTAATATTTGTTCTCTCATAATTCCTCCGCCCTCCCCAACAGCAAATTCTGAGAACTGGGTGACTAGCATTTATTAGTGTTTGTATAATGTATAATTTATCTAAATGAGGAAGAAAAAGAGTAAAATTAACCCCTGAGCATCAAACAAAATTTGAGACACATCCAATACAAATATTGTACATTTATTGAAAGAGTACAGTAAAAAAAAAAGGTCTTGCTGACCTGTTAGTGGTAATTGGTCCAAAGAGAAAGAGGCCATTCAAAACTATTTGCAGATTTTCTAAGAACACAGAAGATCCCTTTTTTTATATAAACAAAACAGGCTGGGAAAGTGAAATAAGGTTAACTTCAGTTCAAATAGGAATATAAAAAAGGCAAATAAATAAAAGATAAAATGTAGATCTGTTAAAATTACAAAGAACAGGTAACTAATAAGTATACATAAGCTATCATTTTGACTCTTGTTAAAAGCCAGGAAAGCTTCCCTTTCCTCCCTTTTTTTAAAGCACCTGTACTTTTTGGGAAGATGCAACCCTTTCCAGTGTTATGTATTATCAATGTGTTTCACAAATATATTATTTTTAGACAACAAAAGAGCATAAAAGGTGCTTTACCTGATATTAAACCTGCTGGTGCATATATTGGCACTAACTAACTAAAAAAAAAAAAAAAAAAGGAGAGAAAAAGACTCAAAGCCACACCAAAATACATATATGTAAAAAGCTGTAAACAATTGCAGCGTCTACTCAATATATCTAAAATTCTTCTACTCTGGTTTGACAATGAGCCCCTATTACCTTACTCAACTTCATGGGAACAGCTAAAAATTAGTAAACCTAGTTCTGGGCTGTCAAATCAACCATGGGGGGGGTAATCCTCCTTGCCTAGTCATGTGACCTTGCAATCGCTTTAGCATCAAAGAGAGAAAGGACTCCGTTCTAATAAGCACAGGCATGAGTCACCAATCTTTGTGAAAGAAAGTGATGGTGAAAGAAGGTCTGCTGCAGATGGCACAGAGTTAAACCACTAAAATGTTCCTGGTATTCCCCTAAGACCAGCCGTGGGATAACATACGGGCAGGATTTGACTGTACATAAAAATCTTTATTATCCTGCTTGTCTATACAGCTAGAAGCCTGTTTTTTCCTTTCTTTTCTGCCTTGTACTTCTATGAATACTCCCCTCCCCCAAAAAAGAATAATTTCATGTGCTATTCCTTGATACATTTGAGATCAGCTACTCTGATATGTTTCTTCTGGCTCTTACATTTCTCACTTTGAAGATGTACCTTCCTTCTGTAAACTAATCACAGCATTGGCCTCCTTTTCTTGCTTTAGAAAGTTGTTTTTCTTACACACAGCTCCCCTTGGTTTGGATTGTTAATGGCATTGCTAGAGGGCTTCTCCGTCTTCCCTTGATGTACTCGGCGCCCTATTTCTGCAGAACGAGGAAGTCTGTATTTTGCAATCAGAGCTAAAATAACACCAAAAGATACAAACCTGCCAGTAATTACAGGAGTTCGGCTGGTCCCCACTTCCTAGTGATAAACCTATCACATGGTTTAGCTGTCTTGCACATTTTATCCACCCTTTTTGTCAAATTGTATTTTATGCAGGTTCTGCAGAACATACATAGTTGATTGTATGATGCAAGGCCCCAAAGTTCTATTTAAAGAAACAGTTACCTTAGCTGGACAATTCCTCTGCATAAGGGAATCTTTTGTAAACCTAAGATTAACTGTTGAGGGCATAGAAGGGTAGCTGCACATCATATTTTCATCAAGTTATGCAGTTTTCTTCCAATATTATTTTCCATGCCGATTCTATATTTATTTATGCATTTCCCATAAGCAATCCAGAATATTTAGGTTAAGGGTCTTTAATATATGTATCCAGATTATGTATTTGGAAATACAGGCCAGGATTAAAAAACAAACAAACCTACAAGACCAGTTCCATTCGCTTAATGGATCTTGTGCTTATCAAACTGCAGCCTCCCCTGCTGAACAAACTACTTGTCAAAATGAAAGTTTTGACAGCAAACTGCGATACAATCTGGGTGTCTAACTGAACAACGAAGTGGCCTGACTCAGTGTCCACAAGCCCCTTGGGCTGTGCCTCCAAGCAGATCTTCAAATCCCAAGATTTAGGAAGCTAGTGTCAAACCAAAACATTACATTTCCTGGAGACCATATATAAAAGGTTTAAAAAAACTTTGCTGACTCCTTTGACATAACCTTTTCTACTTTCACAACATGTGGCCTGACCTACCTCAAGTGACTATCTGCAGAAATCAATCCCAAAATTCCTACAGGAATATATTTTGAATGAAGATGCAAGGGGTGATGGGCTAGGATTCCATAGCATTCTGGACCCTGCACCAAGGTTAATGGTTTGGAGTTAATAACGATCAATCACTATTGAAGGAGGTTTCGCACATAAGATTTTAATGAAAAAGTTTAGGGCCTCTTCACACATTGGAATGGGTAGCATCCAAAGGCTCCCTTCCTTTAGAGGAAAATGCCTTCCATTGGAAGAAGGGAAACTTCGGATGCAATCCAGCGTGTGTATGATGGCAGTAGGCTTACAAACCCATGAAAGCTAAAGCTGGGACTGGCTGTACCTTTCTTCCAAGCGCACATATGCAAGCAGGCCTATTTGTCACCAAAAAATGGGGGAAGAAGGAATGGCTTCAGAAAGACTGCTGCCTGAAGCAAGTACATTTTGCATGCCAGCAAGACGGTAGTTTTCTGCATATAACGCAGCAAATACTTTTGATCCAAGATGAACATTTTGGAACATGCACCCTAAAAAGTGAACATGTTGTTCATGCTTATCTTATCGTATCAATTGCTGCATGATGAGTTTTAAAACTGTAAGGTCATTTAAAGCCATCTAGATCTCCTTTACTTTTGCTTTCTTTCTTGTTGATAACTTTCTTCTGAACACAAGAAAAGTTCTTTTGCTTACAAATGCTGCCTAACATGTTGCCGGCTGTAAAGGGAAGGAGGGATGTAACTTTTAGCTATGTACACTCTGACCTTCTGCACATTTTTCAGTGTTTCAAGATCTAACGTTTTAACATCTGAGGAGAGAAAAGAGCCACGTCTGGGCAAGAGTTCAACCAGTTTCTGCCTTAGGTTTCAAGAAAACAGGCGCTGGTGGACGTGCATGCAGATAACTGAGCTCAGAAGAAAAGTAACACAAGGCCACAAAGAAAACCCCAAAGTTATCAGAACAAATATTTTCTAAAACTAAGAAGTGGCAAACTTTAAAAGTATGGTTTTCTGCTTCAGGGTTTATTGGCCTTCTTGTGCTCAAAAAGGATCTCTTGTCCATTTACGGTAATTATTCAGAGTGAAGTCGGATTTAGGTATCTCTCTTTGTTTATTTGACTGACAAAAGGAATATAATTATTGTGGTTAGTAGAGAATCTGATTTTGTTATTCAAGGGCCAGATTGCTGTATGACAAAACCCCAAAGTCCTGTTTTCTGATTCAAGTTAAGAAAGCAATCTAGTAAGAACTAAAGCTATATGCTACATTAATAGTATGCTTAGAATAGGGTGTTTAGGGACTGGCCATAGTTCTCAAAAATAATAAAAAAAATAATTTGAAAAACCTCCCTCGATTTGGATCGGGAATGGCACAGGGGAAAGGAAGAGTTAATCCTGCTTTTGCTCACACTATTTTCTTGTTGAAAGTACACCCTACCCCACTCAGCTTCTGTAGGGATGAGAGAAGAATTAACTCTTCTCCCAGAGTCCTAATCCAGATCAGGGTTCCCAATAAGTGCTTTTTATAAAGAAAGAGGCATGAGAAGTCAAAACACCTTACATTGCACCTATTCAGATGATGTAAAAAACACATATTGGCCATGAGGAGGAGCCATCACAAGTGATATGAAAGAAAGCTATGTCTCTGATGAAAGCCCTTGCATACCTCCATATTTTCATCCAGCTAAAAGGGGTGGGGTTAAAAGTTCTTCTTGTTAATTTTTTGAAAGCAAAATGAACTACAAAAAATGTTAGCCAGCAGCTTAAATATATAAAAACAGCAATGATAACAGTTTGTGCTTTTTATTACTTTCTTTCTGTAACTTAGTGCCAACATAATGCCAACCAAGGTCACCAGCCAATATGGTCAGTTGATAACCCAGAAGATAAAAACAGAAACACAATAAAACAACTGAAGTGTTTTTTCTTCTTCCTTACAGCTGTTTTCTAACCAAACAAGCCAGTGGCTTATTGCATAAACAGTGCTGTTTGGCAACATTGTTCTAGTATCTGCTTCAATATTTATAAAAGCAAAGAGTTGGCATTTGCTGCATCTATAAATAACTTCATACATCAAATGAAAGGCTTCAAATATTTGGGGACTATGGTACATTGGAAAATTACTGTAAGAGTGAGGACAGTTAAAGGTTCCCTCACACTGTGTTTTTGAAGAGAGATCTTTGTAATATTGCACATTTCAGTAAATGTAAGAAGCCTTTGATTCTCCTAATAGCAATTTATTTGTTTGTTCAAGATTCTAGTTCCATTCAGAATTTGCAATATAAACTCCTTTTTAAAAATCATATTTATTGAAAATGAAAAGTGACTGTGGCAAAGAGGCTCAAATTGCCAAGTTCCAAATTGCACTTTGTGCTGTATCTTTTTAAAGGTTTATTTGTGAAATGCTAACGTGGAAGCAAACTTGCTTCCTAGATAAACACAATTATAGCACTTACAAAGGCCATTAATGTACACTGCTACGGAACGATATAAATGACAATATTTATTTCATATTGCATATTCCCAAGAAAGAGGGTTGGGGTGTGTGTGTGGGTGTGTGTGATTCTAATCTTGTTCTAAGAGACTAGTTATATAAATCCTGTAACAAACAACAATTTTATAATAATGCAAAGTTTTTACTTCATTAAGAAAGCAGCTTCAAATGCAGTTTCCCCAGCTTTAATAAACTTCACTGAGCAGGGGTGCATTAGACAGCCTCGTTCTTTTGACCAAATCCTTGCAACTAATAGTTTATGTCTGCATGCATCTGGAATGAATTTAACTTCCTAACATACATAATTCCAACAGGCATTGGCAGGTGTCTTTTTCTAAGAGAGTGATTCACAAGATGGTGTGAAGAAAACTGCCAGTACACTACACTTAATTTTTTTTTATCAGTCAACCAACAATATCCCATAAGTTAGTGATCTTCAGTTGACCCCTGATTTTAGGACAGCCAGAACAAATTCTAAATGCTACTGGTATCCCATGTTTGGAAAATGGTTTTCAATTTGAGCAGCAGTCTGACATGAATTGCAAATCTGCTTACATAAATGAAATATAAATAGTGTTTATCCTTTACATCTGTACAAGAACAGGACAGAAAGTCCTGCTAATTGAATTAAGACAAAGAGCTGTCCTTTTCATTGCTGAAAGACAAGAGTACATTCAGAAGACTTTAAAGAAATGGTATAGTCTCTCGTATATAAAAATATTAACACTTAAGACAAAAATTAAGAACACAGTGAATAAAAGAAGGTACATTCTTGCCCTTACGTGAATGCATAGATGAAGACCTAATGCTAGGCGATTGGTGGTGTTTTCTCCCATGTGGTGATAGCATTCAGACCTTGTGCATTTTAGATAACAATGCCAATGAATTAAGGCACACTGTTGTGGATCCCTTTAGGGTCACCATAATTAACTAATATAGTATTTCCTATTTGTGTTGAACAAAGATCAGCACATGCCCACTGCTAAATAAAGAAACTGCCAGGCTAAGCTATGCAACACTGTATTTTCTTCCCACCCCCTCTCCTTGTCCATTAGATTCTGAACTCATTGACCAGTCCTGGTGTAGTAAGGTGTAATAAGGCAAGAATCACCTGGAAACCCCTGTGCTAGACTGCTAACAAGTCCATCTACAATGGACTCCACTGTTTAATCCAACAATTAAAGTTATCATCATGTTAATGACATCAACTTTTCTAGACTACAAGTATACTTTACCTTGCCCAACATCACCACTCTGTACTATCACAAAAACACACACACAGAAGAGCAAATGTGTTCTGGCCAGCAGGGTCAGCCAAACAGGTAACATGTAAAGCAGTCAAAGACTTCACCTACATCTTGGTCCTACTGTACAAAAGAATACCGTTTTGAGGCTCAAAACGCTTTTTAATTTCCTCATCTCCATTCCCTGGGCTGGAAACGATCAATGTGCCGACACACTGTGGCCATCATTTTGCTGCCTCTTCAGCACAAGTTGAAACTCCTGCAACAAGACCCATCAACTGAAGATCCAAGAGGTCAGGATCATACCATCAACTTACACAATAGCCCGGAAAGGGTCTAATTGTAGGAGACCTTGGAAATAATATGTTGATGCTCATTTGTCATTTTGGAGTTTGCAATTTGTCAACTGAATAAACCCAGCAGAATCAGAGCATAATTAGGGAACTTAACTTAATGTTTCGACTTTGTAGTTTGTTCAGTGTGCCAGATACTATATACAGAAGATAACATTTCCTTGTTAGTTTCCCCGCCATTAGGATCCCACCCCCTGCTCCCTGCTACTGAAAAATACATTCCCCCTTTGGAAAGTGTACATGAAATACATTTCTTCCTTTTTTCTTTGCTTCAGCTGCATATTGAACAGGAACATCAATTCACAAATCTTCCAAAGATCAATTGAGTAAGTCACTTCCCCTTCCCCATCCAAATTCAGTGTTACTGGTTACCTTCATGATATGCCACTCTCCTTCTCAAACATGTTTCTTGCAGACAGCACTTCTGAATGCACACATTCAAGAACAACTATGCACTGCTGCAGCTCATCCTTCTGAAAAACAGATCATCTACAGTGTTTTCCTGATAGATGCATCATACATAAGGCTCACATCTGGATTTATTCTGTGCTCCACCCCCCCCCCATAACAGCCAGACCATATAGATTTGCGCTTTGTGAATTGTGCCTACTTTTTCTTGGTTTAAAAAATTGAAGGGGTATAGGGAATATTTACTGTCATGAAATATCTGCTAGAAATATATGCATGCAGTTCCATTCTGTAATCAAACTGTTCAAATTAAGAATACACATAAATCCAAGGCTGTGTTAGCTGGTATTTTTGTTTGTTTTCAGAGCATTATATTGTATATTCTTTTAAACGGAGGTAACAAAAATGTGCCTGCCTTCGTGCATAAACCACCTGGCATGCACTGTGTGGACTTGGAATCAAAGCAGAGGTAAAGCCCAGAAAAAAAAGATTAGGGAGTTATCTCGCTAATAGAAAGCAGCCAGAGTTCTTTTAAAAAAACACAAAACCTATACACATACTATATGTTGTCTATTTACATATAACCTAAATGACAGCATCACTGTGATCAGATATAAAGCATTTGGCAGAGCTCTCTCTTTAACATAGATATCTTTGACATTTTCAGCCTGGCACACTTGAATACAAACCGTTTTGTTTGTTTTTAAAAAAGAATTCTAGAAGAATATTGAAAGAAATGTATAAAAGTGTAGTGTTCATGACATAAAATATTACTTTTCTGGGAAAAGAGAAAAGAGTCCTCTAGTTTTGAGTCCTGTTAACTTCTCATGAGGCCACTTTCTTTTTCAATGCGGAGAGCTCTTTGTGAATTTCGCTGAATTTCGGTCTCATTTCAGGATTGTAATCCCAACACCGTTGCATTATTTTATAGATTTCCTCTGGGCACTTCTGAGGTGCTGACATTCGATAACCTACCGTATTAAGAAAGACATGGAAAGAAGATGACTATTGAGAAGCAAAAGGGGGGGGGGAACCACAATTAAAAATTCAGTGACCAACCAAACTTCCTCAGACTTGATTCACGAAGAATATTTGTGTGCTGGATTTGAATACATTTAAAGAATTTTCACACCACACCAGTCTGCAAGACTGGAATATGAATGGCACAAAAACCTGATTGAGAAAAATGTTTCATTGTCTGGGCATGTAGATCATTTTGTTGCACCAAATATTGGCTCCATGTTCTTAAAACAATCTGGCAAGACCCACAAAATGGAGGACTAATACAATCAATAGATGGTTTTGTGGCACCTTAAAGACTAACGGTTGTATTTAATGTAGTGGTTAGTAGTGCTTTGTGCAAGCAAAGTGACTTTCACTTCTGCAGCAGGATTCCCCTTGCCCCCTGTCCAACCCTCAATCTGTTCTAGGTTTCTCTCCAACTTTCTGAAGCAGATTTGGAGATGGTGAAAGTCCTGTTTTGCAAGCGGAAGTCATTCTTCTCACACATTTATTTAGTTGACTACTGCCCTAACGGTGTGCACTGTCATTTCTGAAAACTGGCTCATAAAATACGTATCGCCAGGGGTGATGTGGACCCCTCCGACTTGGGGGCAGTTTGCAATTTATATAACAAAACAATCTCATGGTTGGCACATTCCCATTAATTATGAGTTTATTTGGCAACATTCATGATTATTTGATATGTTTTGTACAAATATGAACCTTGCATTCCACTATGAAATATATTTTATGCCACTCATTCTTTTTTAAGCTTTCTGTTACAGTGGTACCTTGGTTCTCAAACTTAATCCGTTCCGGAAGTCTGTTCCAAAACCAAAGCGTTCCAAAACCAAGGCACGCTTTCCCACAGAAAGTAATGCAAAATGGATTAATCTGTTCCAGACTTTTAAAAACAACCCCTAAAACAGCAATTTAGCATGAATTTTACTATCTAACACAACCATTGATCCATAAAATGAAAGCAATAAACAGTATACTGCAGTCACTCACTCAATCAATCAATCAATCAATCAGTAGTTGAATTAGGTTCCACACAGTCACAAAAACAAAACAAAAAGAGCTGCAAAAACAAAAATGCAAAATATATAGCAAAAACAGACAGACCTCAACTCAACACTCAAAATGGAAATGTGGCACTCAAAACGGAAGTGTAACACTCAAAACAGAGCATTTTCGGTTTCCAAAAAAAGTTCAAAACACTTAACTTCCGGGTCTGCAGTGTTTGGGTTCCAAGTTGTTTGAGTACCAAGGCGTTTGAGAACCAAGGTATCACTGTATTAATATGATTCTTATTTTATTATCTTGTAAGTTTATTCTTCTCATGGCTACCATTATTATTAGCTTGATGTCTTGTTTGTTTTTGTTTACTGTAAAATACTGTATTTTTTGCTCTATAAGACTCACTTTTTCCCTCCTAAAAAGTAAGGGGAAATGTGTGTGCGTCTTATGGAGTGAATGCAGGCTGCACAGTTATCACAGAAGTCAGAACAGCAAGAGGGATTGCTGCTTTCACTGCGCAGCGATCCCTCTTGCTGTTCTGGCTTCAGAGATTCAGAATATTTTTTTCTTGTTTTCCTCCTCCAAAAACTAGGTGCGTCTTGTGATCTGGTGCGTCTTATGGAGCGAAAAATACGGTAAGTTTTCTTTAGAAATTCCACCCTAACAAATTTATTATGGCATAAGCTTTTGTGGACTACAGTACACTTCATCGGTGGTATGAAATATTATCCTCAGTTACAGGTATGCATACACAGGACTTTTTTTGGCGGGGAGGTGGTTAGCATTAGGCTGTAAATAGTAGAGGGTAGCGGGAAATGAAATGTAGAAAAGTACAATGATAATTACACAATTAACTGTGGACATTTTTTACTTTTTATTTAGTGGTTTCATGTTAAGCCTCCCTTTGAAGTTCCTTTGAACTGGTATGGCCACTTCAAGGTCATCTACAGAGTGTTCTGGGAGGCTAAAATGATCACCCCCTTGATTGTTGTGTTTTAATATTGCCATTTCGGATGTCCATTTCATCTTTTGTGTATTGACTGCTCTGCTTATTAGTCTTTAAGGTGCCACAAAATTGTTTTCTGCTTTTCCTGTAACAGACTAACCTGGCTACCCCTCTGGATTAAAATTAATGTTTACCTAAGCGTTAATTGGAATTTTGGGTTCTTTTGCTGCTTCCTGATACAGGGTTTAGCTTCTGATATCATTATCTTTGGGGACGCGGGTGGCGCTGTGGGTAAAAGCCTCAGCGCCTAGGGCTTGCCGATCGAAAGGTCGGCAGTTCGAATCCCCGCGGCGGGGTGCGCTCCCGCTGCTCGGTCCCAGTGCCTGCCAACCTAGCAGTTTGAAAGCACCCCCAGGTGCAAGTAGATAAATAGGGACCGCTTACTGGTGGGAAGGTAAACAGCGTTTCCGTGTGCTGCGCTGGCTCGCCAGATGCAGCTTTGTCACGCTGGCCACATGACCCGGAAGTGTCTCCGGACAGCGCTGGCCCCCGGCCTCTTGAGTGAGATGGGCGCACAACCCCAGAGTCTGTCAAGACTGGCCCGTACGGGCAGGGGTACCTTTACCTTTACCTTTATCATTATCTTTACATTGTGACTGCCTGCCTTTCCTTTGGGGATTTAGCCTGAAGTTTTACTGATTTCACCTGAACAACTCCCAGGAAAGTATGCATAGGACTGCAGCCTTAATCAGACCTTCACCTTTCCTGATGTTTCCTTATGCTTGCTGCTCTTTCTTTCTTCTAGCTTCAAGCATTTCTAATCAGGTTTCTCTCTCCTACCCAATCTCATTCTGAATTTGACTCTTCTTGCACACAGCAAATTGTTTTCTTTCCTCAATCAGCTTACAGCACCTTTTCCCTGCTGCTCAAACATGAAAAATCTTCCTAGGAGGCAGGGTCACTGGTCACTCTAAACTAACTATGACTGGCAAGGCTGGAAGGAACAGGCTGCATGTTTTATTATCTCAAATATAGTAAACTGCTTCAAAAATCTATGGGCATATTGTTGATTTTTGCAATGCTGATCTTAAGGAAAGGATTAGTAATGTGTTGGTGAGTTCCACCACAAAAGGACAGTTCTTTTAATGAGGCCCAAGAAGTAGCAGCTTGATGGAGGTAAGGAAGGTGGAAGTAGAATTCCCAATGCCTGCGGAACAAGATTCATGCTGATAAGTGTCCCTCTGCCAAACTGAGCTAGATCCATTTATCCCTTTCATATCAGGTCATATAGACATTTAATGAAGAAAATGCTAAAGGAGATTTAAATCAGTTATAACTAACTTTATTACACAGAGCATTCTGTTCAGGTAGTCTGTGTGCCTTGGGCCAAATTCATACATGCTATTAAAGGTAAAGGTAAAGGTACCCCTGCCCGTACGGGCCAGTCTTGACAGACTCTAGGGTTGTGCGCCCATCTCACTCAAAATACATGCTATTACCATCACGGAAACCACTTCTATCATGATGAAATCCTAGGTCACAGGAGAATGCAACTGAATTCTGGACCCAAATGAACAGAGGCAACTAAATAGGTCCTTCCCACCCTTTCAGGTGAACAATTCGCATTCCGCTAAATGTATGTGTGAATAAGATGTTAAGTTAAGCCACATATCATTCTACGCTATTCCCACTTTGTATTTTAACTACTTTCCCCTCATTTTTCTGACCTGACCTACACAATATTTGAATGACATTGGCCCAGTTGGAGGCTGCACTTGATCAGCATCACTAAGGGTCCTTTGATTTTATTTAAAGGTATTAGGGAAAAGGACCACAGTCTTGTGGCAATTGAAAATCCAATAAAGTTATTGCAACATAGCTTTCTTGAGCCAGAGGCCAGCTCCTCATACGTTTCCCATATTGAAACCAGCTCCTGGATAGTTCTCATGGCATAAAGTTTTCAATTATCAGACTTTTAATTATTAGTCACTGGCCACCCATTTCTACAAAACAGAAATCAAAGACCAAAATAATCAGCTAACACAAAACCTTCTGTAATGTTTCAATAATGTTATTTCTCATGATGATCTATCCCTATTTGGAAACTTCGTAGTTAGATTGGAATTTCTTCACATCAGAGACCTTTGCCCCCAGTCTGATACATCCAAGGCGCACAAAGCATTACAAAGAATTCTTAGTCTTCGATGGAATTAATCATAAATGGTGTGACATGCAGCAATTACCTTTCTCCACTTGTTCCCGTGCTTGCTGATTAGTCATTCCTGGGTATGGACAGACACCTAAACTGAAGGTCTCCCAGAGGAAAATTCCATAACTCCACACATCACTTTCAGATGTGTATCGCCCTACCAGAAAAATAAAAATAAAAATAGAGAGAGGATAGGCAATAAGCAGGTGGTACAGTAATTCTGCCAATACATGAAATGCTTACGTTTGAAGCTGTGGTAAATTTACAGTGGTCCACAGTTGCGCCAAAATAAAAGACAAGGAAATAGATGACACTAGGGAGCCTGGTCGGGACGCGGGTGGCGCTGTGGGTAAAAGCCTCAGCGCCTAGGGCTTGCCGATCGAAAGGTCGGCGGTTCGAATCCCCGCGGCGGGGTGCGCTCCCGTCGTTCGGTCCCAGCGCCTGCCAACCTAGCAGTTCGAAAGCACCCCCGGGTGCAAGTAGATAAATAGGGACCGCTTACAAGCGGGAAGGTAAACGGCGTTTCCGTGTGCGGCTCTGGCTCGCCAGAGCAGCGATGTCACGCTGGCCACGTGACCCGGAAGTGTCTCCGGACAGCGCTGGCCCACGGCCTATAGAGTGAGATGGGCGCACAACCCTAGAGTCTGGCAAGACTAGCCCGTACGGGCAGGGGTACCTTTACCTTTACCTTTAGGGAGCCTGGTTAGTTCCTTTGCATCTATTTTGCAATCTCATGACTGGGCACATCCTTGCAAATTATGCTATGTGTATGTGTTCTCTACTTGGGGAATCAGATCCTAAATACAAGACATTAAAACATCCCTTTGTTGCCGGGCATAGGCAAACTCCAGAGGTTTTTGGACTACAATTCCCATCATCCCTAGCTAACAGGACCAGTGATCAGGGATGATGGGAATTGTAGTCCCAAAACATCTGGAGGGCCGGGTTTGCCTATGCCTGCTTTGTTGCTTTTCGTTGATGTGTACAATTTTTTTTTTAAAGAAACCTCTCCTGAAACCAGCGATTGTATTTTATCAAAGTAGGGATGGAATACTGCCCTGCAACATTCTCATGATGAATAAGTGTATTGGTGTATCTGGGACATGGTCTTTCCTTGAGCGTCAGGCATCCCAGTTTCAGAAATAACACGAAAGCTAGCAGGTGCACATGGCCCTGGCATGTTCCTTTCATGGAGAAAAAACCTTGGGCTTGTCTACACCTTACACAGAATATTTAGCGTGACACAAGTTCTCCGTATACAACTATGAATGCACAGAACCTACTTGTGACAGTGGGTACCTAGTACTGCTATCAAGGACCTTTTCTGGGGTCAGTTTCGCCTTATGCAATAAGTTGATGAGCACAAGATGCTGCCAGCAATGCATTTGACCATGTGCCCCCTGTCCCTCTTGGCTTATCAAATCTAGCAAAGGGGGGGGGTTCACTGTTTGGGTCCAGAGTGTGGTTAACACTTTGCTGCAAGAGGGGATGGGTGGTCCCTGCTGCACTGAAAGAGGCAGTGGTACAACTAGCTCCTAAACAAACTGGCTCTGGACCCACCCGGATTGCAACAGCTATCAGCCTGTCGCCAATACCCACTTTTTGGGGAAGGCGGTGTCCACAAAATTTAGAAGCTAGAGGACTTAATGTATTGCCATTAATAGCAACTGATCATGCATACACAAGACTATGAAGCACAGCATATTTTTCTCTCTTATTCCATTTTTTAAAAAGTTATGTAAAATATATTTCCAGAACTGGTTTTGTTGGCATTTTGAATAATCTCCGGAGAGGTATATATCCTCAGCACTGCAGAGCAAAGCAGCCAATGTGGTACACACCAGATATTAATTAATTAATTAATTAATTAATTAATTAATTAACTAACTCCTTAATGCCAATATAGGCTTCCAAGGAATTTACAAGTTTAAAAACTAATTACACAGGCATTAAAATATAAGCACCCATAATTAAAACACACAGTTAAAGTACACACTAAAACAATCCCATTAAAACATTAAAGTTTAAACCGTAAGTAAAATATGCAGCAAAATGATTCCATTAAAACAACACGATAATTAAGAAGGGGGATCTAGGTTCAGAGATCAGTGAACTGCCAGTTTAAACAGATGTATCGTCAAAAGCCAGCACAATGCCAATAAGGATAGGTCTTCTCGTACTTCAGCAAGGGGTAGTGAAAAGGCAAACACCATTCCTCAAGCTTTAAATTATTAGGCTACGCCAAGACTAACCAGGTTTCATTTGTTGAGCTTGATGCCCTTACTCCAAGCATCCCTGATCACTGACTGTGCTGACTGGGGCTTATGGAAAGTTGTAGCTATGCTACCCCTGCACCAGAGAATCAGCACTTTAACATTATGTATTATTGTTTTACATTTCTATGCCGTCCTTCACCTGAACATCACAGGGCAGTTTACAATATGAAAACACAGAAATACATACCACAGTAACAAACAAAAACAACGCCCCCCCCTCCCCTGGCAGTTTAAAAGGCCACAGCTTGCTGAATTAGCCATAGGCTTGGGAGAAGAGGAATATTTTTGCATAGCTCCTAAAGATATGTAACAAAGGCCCCAGGCGAGCCTTTCTGGGGAGAGCATTCTGCAAGCAGGGAGCCACCGCAGAAAAGGACAATTTTTGTGTTGCCGCTGTCTCAAGGAGGAGGCACATGAAGAAGGGGAAGGTTTGTTCTTGCTATGTATTTTGTGTTTTTATCTTGTATTTTTATGCTGTGGCCCACCCTGAGATCTTCAGATGAAGGGAGGTATAAAAATTTAATAAATAAAAAAAGACAAAAGATGATTGCAGATCCAGGTAAGTTTATGTGGGAAGAGGCGGTCCCTGAGGTATTGCGGTGCTGAGCTGTTTAAGGCAACAGAGCCTCTTGTGGCTCAGGGTCAGGTGGGAAGACCCTCCCCTAAGTCAATGACAAGTGAAGGGATCATCATCCCTGTGCTCCACATTGAAACCAGCTGATTGATTGAAATCAATCGATTTGCACACCATTACATCAAAATCAAATCAGATACAAGGTGCTACCCACTGTTGTCCCCCCTTAAATCCTATACTGTGGTTAAATGACACGCATTTAGTTAGGGCCAGCATTCTGAGTTGATTTGGGGGTTTCACCATCTCTATAGTACACCACAGAGCCCCTTATACTTCCATAGCAGACATTATGGCGTCACCTGTATCTTTGAGTCATCTGCCTGCAATTGCTATGGGTGCTTCAGACAATTTATTTGATTGCTGCCATCATATCTCCGCAGAACAGGATGGGACTGTATTGATTAGAGCCCTGGCTTTAAGTTCAAAGTCTAGAGATGAAGCATCCAGCTTCTTTGGAAAACACTATTAGATACCAGCTGTGAAAAGGTCAAAATTCCTGTACACCTATTTTGATTCCCTACAGAACCCTCCATGAGGGAGTTTGCCCATAGCTGTCAACTTTCAGATTTGAAAATAAGGGATCAGCAGCCTCGAAAATAAGGGATCAGCAGCCTCACCTGTCCTGGGGACAGTCTACAGGATATCTAACAATCCAGGATAGTAGCGGGAAGCAGCGGGAAATGGTGCTGGAATAAGGGAATTTCCCACAAAAAAAAGGGAAAGTTGACAGCTATGAATTTGCCTTCTAAGTCAGCCAGCTTGTCCTCTTCTTCCACAGCAGAGGTCCTTTTGAAACCAGTCACATAAGCAGTGGAAGAGTGGCAGGTGCATGGAACAACCAAGAGACTACCTATGTGACTACCTATGTAACCAGTGCCGGATTTACATATAAGCTAAACGAGCTATAGCTTAGGGCCCCACTCTCTTGCCCCCCCCCATTTCACTATTAATATACTTCTTAATTGTATTTCAGTTCAACAATTACTTTGATAAAATACCTATTTTGTTATGTGCAAATGGCTTTAGATACCTATTAGGTCCATAAATGACCATATAGCATATATTGAACACACAAAAAAGAGTGACAATTTGTTGTTGACAACAGACAGCTGGACATATAAAGGGCCCCATAACCTTCAGTAGCTTAGTGCCTCATCAAACCTAAATCTGGCCCTATATGTGACATGAGTAGTAGATGCAAGATTTTTCCATCAGGAGCACTTCAATCTTACCCATGGCTACTCCAAGGGCAATGTACTTGTGCTGGTCATGGAACCAACTACACTTTGTTGTGTGATGTTTTGTTTGACCTGGGGTGTGTGTGTGTGTCTGAAGAAGCAAGTTCACATGTCCGTAAATATTCTTGATGCTGGGAACCTCATCTTCTCTTTCACAAATTGCAGGTACCTCACAGGTTGACGTATGATCGCAACTAGGAATGTTCATCAGGTTTTGTACTCTTTCCAAATGAGGAGGGGGAGTGGTTTTTTCAGAATTTACAAGGCATAACTGGACCCGATTTCCTGCTGAAAAATGTTGGAGGGTATGCAATCTTTTCCGCTTTAGAGTTTTAAAATCTCCCTCGTCACCCCTGCCTCTAAGTACTGAAGTTTTTTTTCAGTGGCACACTATTTCCAGCTGCTAAATATTTAATATTTTAAAGACGAGGTATGTTGCTCATTACCAGCCTAAATGAAACACATATAAATGTTACTGACAGCTGGGGTTATTCTAACTGTTCTGACCTCAGAAAGTTCTGTTTGCATTTAAAACTAAATATCATTTCATGCTGTTTTAAATTAGGCTACCAGGTTGATAAAGAGCAATTATGGACATTCGCTGTGCTGCTGGTAGTGTGATTGTTCTTGTAAGTCTGCATATATTCTCCTTTTAGAGCTTGGCATCTACTAATTTAACACCTTCCATTAAAAACATTTGGGGACACTAGTTATAAGTAATACATTTCTTAGGTAAGTGTTAGTTATATGGACTCAATTACCTTTCTCAGCAAGGCTCCCAAAGCATGGCAGTAATATACTTGCGTGGTATGCATTAGTGACATAGAAAATTGATAAAGCTATGCTAGAACCATGAGAATATACAGTGGTACCTCGGGTTAAGTACTTAATTCGTTCTGGAGGTCTGTTCTTAACCTGAAACTGTTCTTAACCTGAAACACCACTTTAGCTAATGGGGCCTCCTGCTGCCGCCGCGCCGCCAGAGCACAATTTCTGTTCTCATCCTGAAGCAAAGTTCTTAACCCGAGGTACTATTTCTGGGTTAGCGGAGTCTGTAACTTGATGTGTATGTAACCTGAAGCGTCTGTAACCTGAGGTACCACTGTAATGAACAAAGTTATACAAATGTTCCGAGAAAACTAAGAATCACAAAAGCACTGTAGTTTGGACCAGGGATGTAATATTGTTTAGAACATCTCAAAAACAACTCTAAGTATTTGGGTCCATGTCTTCAGCTTTGAAATCCCTCAAAATGCAACATCATGTAAATGCTGATCCCTACATTTAATACTTTGAACTGCTTCCCATAGTACAGTTTTACTCCAAGTACTGCTCCTGCAAGTCAGTCATGTGAGTAAAAACATAACATTGGAAATGTGTTACACATAGTTATAACTTGCAAAGAAATGTGTATTTAAATCATTCCCTAATTAGATTTTATGAAAGCACACTTGAAAGCGCACACTTGTAAAAACTGTAAAGGCATTTAATGTAAAAAAATGGATCTGAGTTCCCTGAACTCTTAACCATAGTTAAGAAATTAGGATTGTCCCATTAACTTATACACGCTTTGAACACTTATGAATGCTCTTCCTTCCCCATTCAGAATTAACCAGCTTCAAATCCTCGTTTCAAAGTCTGATTTAAGGTTCGCCACGGTTTAACACTAACTTCAGTGCAAATACAACTAGGGATAGCATACAAAATTGAACAGGATAACTCCTAATATTGCCCCCTGCCCTGATTCATCATGAAACTACACATTCCAAAGCACAATCTATTTCAGGTTGAAGTAAGGGATGTGCATGTATCCCTAGACATAACTCAATACCATGAAATGCAAATTGCTAACAGTACAGAATATTTTGTTTGTGTGTGCATACACACACAGTAAAATTCAAGTGTCTCCTTTGTTCTATGAGCGTGCATATTTCTTGTTGATAGAGACTCTTTGCCCTTGACAACTGTCTGACAGGTTCAATGGGCACAGCTTTCTATGGCACAGAGAGACACCAACATTTAACTTTGTTGTTTCTTAAAATCTACACTCTTTCTCTCCAAAAAGAAATTTGAGTTCTCCTACAAGTTTAATGGAAAGCAACTAAATGGTACAAACTTGTTCCTATGCAGAGGAACACCCTAAAATAAACCATTATTTGGTAACTATTAATCAGTTCTTTATTACCCCATTCACAATACTAAAACACACATGCTGTTTCTTCTTTTCCTACTTATTAAGAGTGCCCTATTCCTCCATTCTCACTAAGAGCACTTTGGCTTATTCTATTTTTGTGACCAACTGATCTCGTTATAGGCAATTTTCCTCTTTATAAATAGTGCCTTTATTTATTTTGAAAAAAACAACAGCAGGAAGGTCCATAAGAGTGCTGCGTAAGTAACTCTAAAAGGTTTTTGTGGGGGGCGATTTTGGTTTCTTTCTTCTCCTATGACAATTCATGAGCTGCTAACACAAGTAGTAAGGTAACGGTAAAGGGACCCCTGACCATTAGGTCCAGTCGCGGACGACTCTGGGGTTGTGGCACTCATCTCGCTTCACTGGCTGAGGGAGCCGGCGTACAGCTGCTGGGTCATGTAGCCAGCATGACTAAGCCGCTTCTGGTGAACCAGAGCAGTGCACGGAAACGCCGTTTACCTTCCTGCTGGAGCAGTACCTATTTATCTACTTGCACTTTGATGTGCTTTTGAACTGCTAGGTTGGCAGGAGCAGGGACCAAGCAACGGGACCTCCCCCGTCACGGGGATTCAAACCGCTGACCTTCTGATCGGCAAGCCCAAGGCTCTGTGGTTTAACCCACGGCGCCACCTGCGTAGTAGTTTCAAGAATAAAAGTCTGAAAAATCCATTGCTAATTTCCTACTCATTTCTATTTACTTTTATTCTACGTATGTTCTAATTTAGTTAAAGTTTATCTAATCAGGATAAATTACAAGGAAATCTACTACAAAGTTCTAGCCACAAAGTCATAGTGTTATGGCTATACTTGCATGTAATCAGTTTATTTAAAAGATAAATATACCCTATTTTTCAGGTGATAATCTCCTAGAGCTGTTAATGTTAAAATGTTGATTTTTTAAAAAAAATCCAATAGTATCACATAAAAACAGAACAGGAACAATCAAAGATAAAAACTATACATGGTATCTACATCAAAGATTTGAACACACCCACCAAACATCTAGGGTCCAAACAAATATAAAGTACATCAGAGTCAGTGTCTGCTGAGACAGCCTGGGGATAGCATTTTATAGTCAGGGTACAACAACTGATAAACTGCCTCACCTCCAAAGATAAACTACAGAAGGCCCTCGGAGGCAGATTATAGTAGCCAAGGAGGCTTGTGTGGAAGCAGCTCGTATGGAAGTTTAAAATATGGTAATTATTAGAGATGTTTAATTATTTTGATGAAGCATTCCCTTAAGGGAAAGAGGTGGTATCTAATTGCAGTGGAGTAGCAGTGTGTGTGTGTGTGTGTGTGTGTGTGTGCACTAGGGGGCATAGTCTGGGGGCATTTTTTTGAGGGGGGGCAACCCCACGATAGGGTCCCTCATTGAGGGAAGCAGTGCCTGGGCCTAGCCTTTGGGAATGGGGTAGCAGGGGCTCCTTCTCCTTAGGGCCGCCCTTGGGTTGGCCAAGAGGGAGGGGAGGGTACAGTCGCCAGCTGGCTGCAGCTCCACTCATAAACCAGGTCTGACCCGGACACTTCACTGCCCCTCTGCTCTGCTGGGCTCTGGTGCGTGAGTGCACCCCCAGGTGTGCCCTGCCCCCCAGTGTGGTCCCTGCCTTGGGCAGCGACAGGAGACGCTGTTTAATTTTGAGAGAAAGGGAAATCTTAAAATATCTTCTTGCAAATATTTGTACATCTCCTTTATATTTTCAGACATCACACAGCATATTTTGGACCGAAACTGCTAGCAACAGTATTCCCTTACCATAGTTTAAAGCCTCTGGAGCAGTCCATTTGATGGGAATCTGTTTTAATCCTGAAGATGAATATACTCCATCATCTTCTTGACGAGACATTCCAAAGTCGCTAATTTTCAGGACATTGTTTTCTCCTACAAGGCAGTTCCTTGCAGCAAGGTCCCTGTGTGGAAAAAGATGCAGCCTTTATAAATACAACGCAAAACGATAGCGTACTTTTATATTCAAAACCTAAATCTGCTCGAGCAAGAATGTTTCCTCCCATCCATTCTGTTCTGGGGAAAAACTTCATCCACCACTGGGAATGTAAGATCACAAAGCATAATGGCTCCTGGAAAATAAAATATTTTTACTGAAATAGTAAAACAAGTGCATACAAGGCAACAGAGCACTGTGACCATGCTGCCCTTGAGGGTTATTATTTCCAGCAGAGTGCAGGCCAGTAAATGAGATTTGATGTGGGGAGATAGCATAGCTTGAAGTCAAAGTCTTGTTCTCGGAACTGCCAAGGGTAGAGAAGAGGCAGGGGAATCATATATGATTTAGGCTCACACATGCTCCCCATCATACCAACTGATTGCCAATGAGAAAGAAACTCCAAAGCCCAACCCATCCCTCCTGCAATAGTCCCAATGTAGCTTCTGATTTAAAGATGGTGTCCTTAGCCTCTCCTTAAGTCTTTATGGGTTTTGGTAAAGCATAGCCTAAACCCCCCCCCCCCGCCCCAAAAAAGCTAGAGCCATGGAAAGAACAAAAATTAACCATTTATTAGCAAATAGCTCACAAAGCATTTTAAATAAATTTGTTTCAACAAATAATACTTGTCAGTTCAAGTCCATTCAAAAATATACCAAGTTGAGTCTATATAAATTGATGGATTTCCTTCTCAGTCGTTTTACCCCCACAACAATTCTTAGGTGGTACACCTTAGGCTGAGAGATAGTGACTGGGTTCAAGGTAATCCAATGAGCTTCACAGCTGCATGGAGAATTGAACCCAGACCTGCTGGTTTAACAGCAGGATAGAAATACAGGGAGAACATAACCCATATCTCCAAGCGAAACAAACAGACATGAAAAGTTGCCTTGGCTCAATTCAATGGGCTCGCCTACTTGCAAGAGCAGGAAATCAATTGTTTCAATAACAATCACAATACTGACACCAAACTCAAGGTTACAATTCTGCACCTTGCTATTCACACATGCATTGAATTTCACCTTCTTCCAGGAGCTGAAAGGACTTGTTTCTTCTTCCATTAGAATAACAACCAGTTCGAGAAAAAGAGGTGCTGGAACTCACCATGAATGCCTCTCTTGTTCTCTTATAATGGTAATGGCGTCTACCTGAGAGGTGCCGGAACTGAGTTCCAGTGAGTTCTGGCTGAAAAAAAGCCCTGATCACAACCCTGCTGTTTAGTGATAGAACATAGGCACAAGGTTACCCAGCGAGCTTAATGGCTGACTAGGGTGTGTGTGTGTGTGTGTGTGTGTGTATATATTTACTTTGATATCTGTTTTCCTAGCTTATAAGATCTCTTATAAGAGTGACAGGTAAGAGAAAACTCTATATTCTGATGTATATTATAGCTGTAATTTTAGTGACAGCATATAATATATACGTGCGTGAAATTTCTCTGTAAATTTATTACTATAGTCTGCCATCACCCTTAGGTCATCTCTATAAGCAGCATAGACATTTGCCAAGGTCTATTTTACTTTAGTTTTTCCTTGTGTGAGCATACTTAACTCTTCACATGTTCATGCAAATAACTGATAGCTGAATGTGTGACAGAGAAGAGAGAGAAAACAAACAGAACGCTGTGGCACTTAGCAGCACCATTATTTACTTAATTATTTCTAAAATGTGTATTTTGTCTTTTGGTGGCCAATTGGCATTCACAGGGAGCCTTACAAAAGAGTAAGAAGAAACACATTGCAAAATAAATAAAACCTCACAGGATAAAACCCCAATCTAGTAAAAACTCGCAACAGCTTAAAAGAATTCAAAACCTGCTCCTTGGATTTGTGGCCAGGTCTGCAGTAGAAGTATTTTCACATCAGAGCCTCACAAGCTCAAATCCTTTATCATTTCAAGGCTGCTCTCACAGTTTCAAATGCCTTTGAGTACTGTGCTAGTGAAAAGTGAACTAAAATTTAAAAACGAAGGCAAAAGGGCTCAGTATAAAGCCATCCTGCAACAGCGAGACTCTTTTCGGCCCACTCTTAAAGGTATTATAAAAGAGCTTATATTTCCATTTGTTTATGAGCACAGCTGTCCAAAGGAAAAATAACATTAAACTATTTTGAACACAGGCATTTAATGTAGAGAATTACAGTTGTAGCATTAGTAGTCATTCCTGAGAAAAGGATTTATGAAGAGTTTGTCATTTGCTTTTAGCACAGACAGATAATTTGCTAGCAGGCAGGTTGCTATGCATAAGTAATGAATTGTGTCTTTGAGGATTATTAAGATTTCTTTAAGGATTATTAAGATTATAAATTATACAGGCTTTTAAATGGAATGTTATTTATATGCAAGCTGGGTACAAGCCACAGACCTATTTCTGTTGTGCTTTCTTGGGTGTAAAACTGATGTTGTTCTACTGAAAGGCAATAAGAGTCATACTGGTTTAAGTATTGGCATAAAATTACCATCAGGGCAACAGATATGCACATTCTGAATAAATGAATTATTGAACATTAGAATGCAATATCATGGTTACTACGGATTTACAAATCACTCACTCAAAGGAAGACTTCTTGACAAACCCAACAACCAGAAAAAGCAGACACAAGAATTTGAGTCTCTGTGCAAAGTCACCATGCATGACAATATCCATACTGAGTGACTGCCCCTCTCAATGACTGTATAACGTGTATACAAGTTCCACTTCAAGGAGGGATGATGGGCAGTAGAGAATCTATACCATCCAAGGCAAGTTCTCAAACACTGTCAGTGGCATTAACCTATTTGGGCAAGAGTAGGACATGCCAGATAGGGATGCGGGTGGCGCTGTGGGTTAAACCACTGAGCCTAAGACTTGCCGATCAGAAGGTCGGCAGTTCAAATCATGTGACAGGGTGAGCTCCCGTTGCTCGGTCCCTGCTCCTGCCAACCTAGCAGTTCGAAAGCATGTCAAAGTGCAAGTAGATAAATAGGTACTGCTCTGGCAGGAAGGTAAACGGCGTTTCTGTGCGCTGCTCTGGTTCACCAGAAGCGGCTTTGTCATGCTGGCCACATGACCCAGAAGCTGTACACTGGCTCCCTCGGCCAGTAAAGCGAGATGAGCACCGCAACCCCAGAGTCGGCCACAACTGGACCTAATGGTCAGGGGTCCCTTACCTTTTAGGACATGTCGGCAGTAATAGCAACTGGTTGCATCATGGGCTGTGAATCTGCATGGATGCTTACATTGCCTAGACTGGGACATATTGAAGCAGGAAGTATATTTTTCCATGGAAAGAGGGATTGGTTGTGGGGCAGGAAAGAGGGATTGGTTGTGGGGCAGGGGACACAGAGAACTGTAGCTCTGTGAAGGGGACTGGGCTCTCTCAACAGCTCTCAGCACCTTTAACAAGTTACAATTCCCAAAATTTCTGGGGAGATGCTATGGAGTGTTTAAGTGGCATAAGAGGGTTTAAAATGTCTGGCTGTGGCCCCAGTGTGGTGCAGTGGTTAGAGTGTTGGACTAAGACTGGGGAGACATAGGTTCAAATCCCTGCTCAACTAGTCTCAGCTAACCTCACAGGGTTGTTGTGAGGTTAAAATCATAGAATTGTAGAGTTGGAAGAGTCCTGGGGTGTCATCGAGGCCAACAGCCTGCAATGTAGGAATCTTTCTGCCCAATGCGGGACTCAAACCCACGACCCTGAGATCAAGAGTCTCATGCTCTATGGACTGAGCTATGTGGGGGACAGAGAACTGTGAATGTCACATTGAACTCCTTGGAGAAGACAGACTAAAAATGTAGCCAAATAAATCATTTTTTTAATGACTAATAGATAATGCAGTTAGACTAATAATGTCAGTAAAGTATTCAAAAATATATTCTTATACATTGGCAGACCTGTTAAGAATGAGGCAGTCGCTTGGGAGAATATATCCTAGCAGTTATTTTCAAGTTGTTTTGATGGATTTTGTATCACTTCCATTTCAATCTATAATGTGATTTTCTTTGTTTTTACACACAAACACACACAGTGTGATATCACTGCTGACTTTACAATAAATTTCTTCTGCTCTTATGATTGTTTCAATGTGCTGGATCGAAACATGAGACTATGTTATGAATAAAGACCTTTTTCCTATAATTCATTTATGTCTCGAAACAAAGGTCTGCAATTCAATTTCTTCTCTGTCTCAACATATTTCTTTTCTGCAGTTTAAAAAACATGCCTTAGCTTTGTCCAATTTCAATAATTCAGCACTGTGTTTGATAAGATTTTATTTTTAGCTGTATTATATGAAGATCCAATCTCAGATATGGCATATTTCCTTCCCTGTGGTGATGCGAGCTGAGGACTTTGTTTACCTGGCAAGTTCATAACCAGACAGTCCTTGATTCTAAAGTCTTGAATACTCATTAGCACTTATTTCATGTTTAGGTTCATGATCCATGTCTGCTATTCATGAAATGTTGCTTCATATGCCAAACCGCTGATGATGCATACTGATCTGAGAAGACCACTTGATTAAGTACTCTTAGCAATAAGTTCATTATATAACTTCCTACATGCAAAATGGGGTGTGTGTGTTTATTTTATCACCCTTTTTGCGAAAGTCTCTGAAAGATATTCTGAGCAATCTTTTCTCTTTATAGCATTTCTGGTCAAACCAAGGGGAGCGATTAGAGGGGGTAACAGATGCAGGCTTAGCTATTGTACCACATAAGTCTATTACTTGGAAGTAAGCTGCTATTACTACCTTAATAGAATGTGAGTTAGTAAGGGTTGCTCTCAAATGTAACATTTTGTCAGAGTCCAGGAATTTGGCAATCAGCCCTTCGAATTGCGAGGACCATCTAATCCTTTTCAGAATACTATGAGAAGCCTGATCTGAGTTACCAGCTTCAAGGTCTTTTTTGCTGGGTCACATTGTATAGTCAGAAGTAAGGGGGAGTGGTCACTTTCTGTACAGAGTCCAATAGAAAAGAAGTTAACATCA